TTTTTTTTTTTTTTTTTTTTTTCTTTTTTGAGACAGAGTTTCGCTCTTGTTACCCAGGCTGGAGTGCAATGGCGCGATCTCGGCTCACCGCAACCTCCGCCTCCCGGGTTCAGGCAATTCTCCTGCCTCAGCCTCCTGAGTAGCTGGGATTACAGGCACGTGCCACCATGCCCAGCTGATTTTTTGCATTTTTAGTAGAGACGGGGTTTCACCATGTTGACCAGGATGGTCTCGATCTCTTGACCTCATGATCCACCTGCCTCGACCTCCCAAAGTGCTGGGATTACAGGCGTGAGCCACCGCGTCCGGCCAGTAGAAACTTTTGAAACTGGTCGAGCCCAGTAGCTTATGTCTGTAATCCCAGAACTCTGGGAGGCCAAGGCTAGTAGATCACTTGAGGCCAGGAGTTCAAGACCTGTCTGCGCAACATAGGGAGACACCATCTCTCCTAAAAATACACAAATTAGCCGGGTGTGGTGGTATGTACCTATAGTTCCACCTACTCAGGAGGCTGAGGTGAGAGGATCACCCGAGCCCAGGGAGGATGAGGCTGCAGTGAGCCATGATCACACCACTGTACTCCATTCTAGGCAACAGAGTGAGACCCTTTCTCAAAAAAAAAAAAAAAGAAAAGAAAAGAAAAAAAGAAGCCTGGCATGGTGACTCACACCTGTAATCCCAGCACAATGGGAAGCTGAGGAGGGCAGATCACAAGGTCAAGAGATGGAGACCATCCTGGCCAATACGGTGAAGCACCGTCTCTACTAAAAATATAAAAATTAACGGCATGGTGGCACGTGCCTGTAGTCCCAGCTACTGGGGAAGCTGAAGCAGGAGAATCACTTGAATCGGGGAGGCAGAGGTTGCAGTGAGCCAAGATCGCACTACTGCACTCCAGCCCGGCGACAGAGTAAAACGCTGTCTCACATACAAAAAAAAAAAAAAAAAAAAAAAAAAAAAAAGAAAGAAAGAAACTACAGAAAAAACAGAAACAAATTTAAAAATTTATAATCCACTCAGCTAAAGCCACATTTGAAACATACTCCTCCAATCCTCAATCTATGCACATAAAAATTTTAGAACAGAAATAAAATCACATTAGATACACCATTTTATAATCTTTTTTTTTTTTTTTCCTTGAGACAGACTTTCGCTCTTGTTGCCCAGGCCGGAGTGCAAAGTGCGATCTTGGCTCACTGCAACCTCCGCTTCCCAGGTTCAAGCGATTCTCTTGCCTCAGCCTTCCAAGTGGCTGGGACTACAGGCATGCACCACCATGTCCAGCTAATTTTTTGTATTTAGTAGAGATGAGGTTTCATCACATTGGTCAGGCTGGTCTTAAACTCCTGACCACAAATGATCCACCCGCCTCAGCCAGCCAAAGTGGTGGGATTACAGGCGTGAGCCACCGCACCTGGCCTATTTTTTTCTTTTAACAAGATAAATGACTACCTTCTCTATTCTTTACCCTTTGGGATAGCGGTATTCTATTACATAGCTATAGTATGTTTTTTCTAAACCAGTTGTCTACTATCAGACATTTAGGATGTTTAAATATTTTGCTATTATCAACAATATTACTGTGGTAAAAGTACTTATTCATACAGCTTTGCACACCTCTTCGTCATCTCCTTAGGATAAATTCCTTTAAGCAGAATTCCTAAACTCTGTGATCTAAACAAAATAATAAACAATTAAACCTATTATAATACAGATTTTACCAGGCAAAATCTCAACAGAGCAAGAAGCAACCCATAAATTCCACTGCTAGCAATACAGACTTATAGGAACTTATTTAGATCAATAAACATTTGTGCTTCTGCCAAACAGCAAATTCACAAATAAGAAAAAAAAACTCCATAAGGATTCAACATCTTCTCCCAATGCTCCCCAAAGATTATGCATTAAGCTCAAATGTATATGAATATGAGCAATTATTATAAAGAATATAAAGAATTATTATCAGCCAGGTGCAGTAGCTCACGTCTGTAATCACAGCAGCTTTGGTCAGGAGTTTGAGACCAGCCTGGATAATATGGTGAAACCCTGTCTCTACTAAAAATATAGAAATTAGCCAGGCGTGGTGGCGCGTGCCTGTAATCCCAGCTACTCAGGAGGCTGAGGCAGGAGAATCACTTGAATTGAACCCAGGAGAAGGAGGTTGCCATGAGCCAAAATTGTGCCACTGCACTCTAGCCTGGGTGACAGAGCGAGACTCTGACTCAAAAAAAAAAAGAAAGAAAAAAACGCAAATAGGTGACCACTGAGCAATTCAGAATAACTTTAGGAACCCAAATGTACAGGAAAGGTTTAAATTTGACCATTTATCCCACCTTGCCCCAAGAGAAAGGCCATACAATGAAATAAATAAGGGCCAAAGGGAAAAAGGCTCACCTGGACAGACTCTCTAGTCCAACTGAGAATAGTAGACACTAAGCAAGAAATGTTATAGAATCAATTCTAATTAGCCTTAAAAAAATAAAATCACCGGGCGCAGTGGCTCACGCCTGTAATCCCAGCACTTTGGGAGGCCAAAGCGGGTGGATCATGAGGTCAAGAGATCGAGACCATCCTGGTCAACAAGGTGAAACCCCGTCTCTACTAAAAATACAAAAAATTAGCTGGGCATGGTGGCGCGTGCCGGTAATCCCAGCTACTCAGGAGGCTGAGGCAGGAGAATTGCCTGAACCCAGGAGGCGGAGGTTGCGGTGCGCTGAGATTGTGCCATTGCGCTCCAGCTTGGGTAACAAGAACGAAACTTCGTCTCAAAAAAAAAAAAAAAATCAAATCTACCTGTATTTCAAGGATAGTGTCGAATGTAAAATAAAAAGCATCCATACCTCCTCTAGTTTATTATCACTTGATTTATGAGTAGAACTATCTAAGGATGATACTCGCTTTGATTTTTTTTCATATTCATCAATATCTCCATTTGGTAGATCTTTTCTTCTTGACTTATGGGATTTAGAGAATTCATCTGAAAGTCTGTTAAATCCTTCTTCAGTGTCTCCATTTAGCTTCTCTTTCATTTTAGTTTTTTTGGCCTTGGGAGCATCCAGGTCATCTGTAACACCATTTTCTCTTGTTTCTGATTTCTCATCTGAATCATAATGGTGCCTTGACTTCCTTCTGTCACTCTGTGAACAAACAAAGAAGCAGTGACAAGACGGTCAGAGGTTTCCTTTTAAGACTCTAGAGAAGTTAGAGTATGACTCTCCCACCAGTTCATCTCAATCTACAGTTATTTTGAAAACCTACCTGGTAAAAATCCAGCCTGGTTACTGTTGCCAAGCTCTAAGCGCCACCTGTTGCCATCTTTCTCATCCCATTCCTAGCATTCTCAAGACTCAGCCTCTATCCCCTCTCTAATCCCACCATAAGATTTAAGGAAAATTAAAACATTTTCTTCTCAGGAAAACAAAGACAACCCCAGAATTATAAATTACTAAACAAACAAAAACTTCCAACATTTCCAAGAGAAAAAAATTAATACTTATTGAATACCTACCCAGCACTGTGTAATGTGTTTTCAGCTTATCTTGTTTAAATCTTCATAACCCTATAAGGGAAGTACAGGTCCATAATCCCTTATCCGAAATTGCGATATCCATAAAGCTCTGAAAACCGAAAGTTTTTTTGTAACTTATTTGGAGGCAAAACCTTACCTGAACTCATTTGATGGCAAAATTCAACTTGAACTACTGTGAGGCTCTTTAGTATTTACTTATCCCACTAGTATGACTATTCAATTTAATATACTTAATATTAAGGTGTTTGATTACAGGTTTTGGGCCCCAAACCCTACTGGGATGTTACCCTTCTAAAACTCCCTGAATTCTGAATTCTAAAACACAACTAGTTCCAAGGATTTTGGATAAGGGATAGTGAACCTGTATTACCTTTGCCATTTTATTTATTTATTTTTGAGATGGAGTCTTGCTCTGTCACACAGGCTGGAGTGCAGTCGTGCAATCTTGGCTCACAGTAACTTGCACCTCCCAGGTTCAAGCGATTCTCCTGCCTCAGCCTCCTGGGGAGCTGGGACTACAGGCATGCAACACCACGCCCAGCTAACTTTTGTATTTTTAGTAGAAACGAGGTTTCACCCTGTTGGCCAGACTGGTCTCGAATTACTGACCTCAGGTGATCCATCTGCCTTGGCCTCCCAAAGTGCTGGGATTACAGGCATGAGCCACCGTGCCCGGCCACCTTTGCCATTTTATACACAAGTAAACAGAAATTCTAAGAGATTAAGGAACTTGCCAAAGATCCACATGTGGGATTTCCTGCAACTCTAAGTACTAGAAATTGAATCAACACTGCCTGCCCGTTCTCTTTTCACATTATGCTTCCTCCCTGCACTTTGATAATTCACACATTAAAGGAAAACAAAACAAAACTATATAATTAATATAAAAATCCAATTGTTATACTTCCATGGAAGGACAGTAATCTTGGAGTTTTTTGTTTTTACTTTTTAAATTTAGTTAAAAGAATTTTAAAAAATTAAAAAGCACTATTCTGCATCATCAATTTTAAAATGCCAAACTAATGGCCAGTGTTGTGATATTTACAGAACTTAAGAAATGATTTGAGAATTTAGAACTTCAGTCTGGTGGCTAGCCGCAGTGGCTCATGCCTGTAATCCCAGCACTTTGGGAGGCTGAGGCAGGTAGATGACCTGAGGTCAGGAGTTCAAGACCAACCTGACCAACAGGGTGAAACCCTGTCTCTACTAAAAACACAAAAATTAGTCAGGCATGGTGGCACATGCCTGTAATCCCAGCCATTCTCAAAAAAATGATTACCCCATCAAATGTTCAAAATAGTGATTAGTGACAGTAAAAACTACCACCACCAAAATGTTCACCGTAACTTACACAACTTTTAGAGTTCTTTCACATACAATTTCCTCATCCATAAAATTGGAATTGCTGTAAGAATTGAACAATATGTGTGAAAATACTTCGCAGTTACACATTACACCATCTGATCTGCAGTTAACTGCACTAGCCCACATCTTTCCAAACCAATAGGTTCTACAGAAAAACAAGATTATTTATTGAGTCAGCCTTGGGGTTTGAATTGCTCCTGGGTCCTGCACTTCAGGGAGAAGTTGAAGCAAGGCAAAGTGAGGCTTCAGTCCAAGCCCAGTAACATCTCACGATAATTAATACATTATTCCACTTTGGACCCACAATGCTTGTTGACACTCTCCATTTCCTTGGTTTCAGTTAGACTTTATACTCCCTTCTTACCTCTACCACATATCTTCTTCAATGGTTTCTCTCCTTCCTCCTCCAGTGGATGCTCCTTGGGTATCTGTTCTCTATGTTCACTTATTACTGTAAGTACTAAGGGCTCAACACATACTTCTAGACTCCCTTCCTGGCCTACATTCCAATTCTAACAATATATGGGCAAGCTCCATATCTCTGCATATCCAAAGCAAAGTTACCTTCATCTCAATACCAGACCACTATTCATTTTACTTTGTTTTTTTTGAGACAGGGTCTTACTCCATCTCCCAGGCTGGACTGCAATGGCTCAATCACGGTTCACTGTAGCCTCACTACCACGTCTGGCTAATTTGTTTGTTTGTTTGTTTTTTGGGTTTTTTTTCGAGACAGGGTTCCACTCTTGTCACCCAGGCTGGAGTGCAATGGCATGATTTCAGCTCACTGCAACTTCCACCTCCCAGGCTCAGCGATTCTCCTGCCTTAGGACCCCGAGTAGCTGGGATTATAGGTGCCCGCCACCATGCCCAGCTAATTTTTGTATTTTCTTTTTTTTTTTTTTTTTTTTTTTTT